TATTAGAGCTTCATATACTAGTATTTAGCATACGAAGTTCCCAATTAAATAATTCCTTGCAGTTGTTTTGCAAAAGAGTATGACTTAAGAAATTTTTGGGGGCCAGGTGCAGTGGTTCACGCCTGTAATCCTAGCACTTTGGGAGGCCGAGGCAGGTGGATTGCCTGAGCTCAGGAGTTCGAGACCAGCCTGGGCAACACGGTGAAACCCAGTTTCTACTAATGAAAATACAAAAAAATTAGCCAAGCGCGGTGGCGTGCGTCTGTAGTCCCAGCTACTCAGGAGGCTGAGGCAGGAGAATTGCTAGAACCCGGGAGGTGGAGCTTTCAGTGAGCCGAGATCGCACCACTGCACTACAGTCTGGGTGACAGAGTAAGACTCCATCTCTAAAAAATAAAATTAAATTAAAAAATGTGTGTGCTTGTAAACTCTCTACAAAGAGCTGTCCGTCAGTGGCTTGGAGGCTGAGCAGAGGGGGTGCAGATGTGCTGCAGGGCCGTCCTCGCCGCAGACCCGGGACTGACTTAGCTTTCCACTGAAAGCTGGCTGAGATGTCTCCAGGCACAACTGCTGAGCAATGAGATCCTGCCCAGCAGGGATGAACCCTCCAGACAGTGGGAACAGGAGGGGACAAGAGCAATGAGGAACCCCCTGGGCGAGAGAGCTGCTAGTGAAGGATATACAGTAAGAAAAGATTGGAATGCTGGAGCCGTGCTGGAGCTGAAGTCTGCTGTTGCACCACCACATTATTTCCCTTCTTGTACCATGGAAAACAAGGAGCAGAGGGGTAACTGCCGTGCCAGCACAGAGCACAGGGAGCCCCTACACTGCCATCCTTCAGAAAACGGTTATAATAAATCTAAAAGCTTATGTTTATGATGTGAATGGTACACCCTTACAAGTGATACCTTTGTGCAGTCCACAACCTACACAACCATGCTTGGTAGCCCTAGGTTTCCAGGAACACAAAGGAAGACAAAGAGCAACCTTTCCCCGTTTAAATGTAGCTTTGTGGTAAATGAGATGCATGTTTCATCTTCTAAGGCCTTACTGGAAGCAAAGCTGATTTTCCAGTGCTTACCTATGCTGCCTAGGTTCAGGGGAGTGGGAAGGACGAAGGGGCTCCAAGGGGCAGAGAGAGGGCGCCCACCCACCCCACAGCTGTTTAGATGGGGAACAAGGGCTAATAAGAGTTCACACGAAAAATGACACATCTTTCAGATTTGGGACACAAAGAAGATACCACAGAGTCTTATATTACTATTTTTTGAGACAGGGTCTTGTTCTGTAGCCCAGATTGGAGAGCAGTGGCATGATCATAGCTCACTGCAGGCTTGACCTCTCGGGCTCAAGTGATCCTCTTGCCTCAGCCTCCTGAGTAGCTGGGACTATAGGCACGCCCACCACACCTGGCTAATTTTTTTTTTTTTTTTTTTGGTATTTTTTGTAAAGATGGGGTCGTCATGTTGGCCAGGCTGGTCTCAGACTCCTGAGCTCAAGCAATCCACCCACCTTGGCCTCCCAAGGTTTTGGGATTACAGGCATGAGCCACAGCACCTGGCCTTTTGGGGTTATTTTAACATTCCACTTTGAACCAGAAATCTCTCCATCCAAGTTTAAATTCACTAATAGTAGTTGTCAAACACACTAGCAAGGCATAGCAGCAAAATCACTGTATATATTATAAATCATTCTGGAAATTAATATATGCACTGAACTCAATATCCAGTTGCTTTCTCTTTTTTTTTTTTTTTTTTGAGATGGAGTCACGCTCTGTAGCTCAGGCTTGAGTGCAGTGACAAGATCTCGGCTCACTGCAACCTCTGCCTCCTGGGCTCAGACGAATCTCTTGCCTCAGCCTCCCAAGTAGCTGGCATTACAGGCGCCCGCCACCACACCTGGCTAGTTTTGTATTTTTAGTAGAGACTAGGTTTCATCATGTTGGCCAGGCTGGTCTTGAACTCCTGACCTCAGGTGATCCACCTGCCTCAGCCTCCCAAAGTGCTGGCATTACAGGTGTGAGCCACCGTGCCTGGCCTCCTGGGTTGCTTATCTTGTTTACCATTTCATGTTTTTCCTTAAAGGAAAAATATCGCCCTCACAGATTATTCTCAGAGATTCTGAGAAAAACACAGAAAGAATGCACTGCGGTCTTTTCCCATCATGGTCTCTATCATACTATCTCAAGCATTTATCCCCTAGTCCTGGCGCCCAGGACTTAAGAAAAACATAATTCCAACAGAAAGCCAGGAGCACAGAGCCACTTACTGCTCTCTGGACAGAAGAGCCGGTTCCTTCGTCCTCCTCCCCGTCTGCCTCCTGGTCTTCGTTATCAGTCCAGGAGGACACGTCTTCTACCGAGCTGGTCAGATCCGGCAAGCTCTTAGATGTTAACCTGAGGAGGTCCTCCGCAGAGTTTTCCTATGGGGACACAATTAAAGGTCCATCCATGAATCACTCCCCAGAACCAAGCAGTTCTTGAAGGCAACCTGGCAGAGTCAGGATACGTGCTCCCAACCCAAAGACCACATGGAGTAAATGTTCTGTGTCTGCAGGGTTACCTCAAAGGTCAGGGGTGTGGACCCAATTTAAACCCAAACCCATTTTTCCCCCCAGAGAATGTGTGATTCTTGGCTGGGTTTTTTTTGTTTTCTTTTTCTTTTTTTTTTTTTTTGAGACAGTCTTGCTCTGTTGCCCAGGCTGGAGTGCAATGGCACGATCTCGGCTCACTGCAACCTCCGCCTCCCAGGTTCAAGCGATTCTCCTGCATCGGCCTCCCAAGTAGGTGGGAATACAGGCATGAGCCACCACACCTGGCATTGTATTTTTAGTAGTGACAGGGTTTCACCATGTTGGCCAGGCTGGTCTCGAACTCCTGACCTCAAGTGATCTACCTGCCTCAGCCTCCCAAAGTGATGGGATTACAGGTGTGAGCCACCACATCCAGCCTTTAGCTCAGTGTTTCTATGGGCAATCCAAGCTCCCTGAATTTAAGATCCCTTTATAAAACAATTATTTTTTTTTTAATCGACAAGATCTCGTTCTGTCACCCAGGCTGAGTTCAGTGGTGCAATCACTGCAACCTCAAACTGCTAGGCTCAAGTGGTCCTCCTGTCTCAGCCTCCTGAGTAGCTGAACTACAGGTATGCACCACCATGCCTGGCTAATTAAAAAAAGTTTTTGTAGAGACAAGGTCTCACTATGTCACCCAGGCTGGTCTCGAACTCCTGGGCTCAAGCCATTCTCCTGCCTTGGCTTCCCAAAGTGCTGGGATTACAGAAGTGAGTCACCACACCTGGCCCAACATCCTCTGCCGGCATCCCCTGGGCTGCTTTCAGGATGCTGTGTAAAGAAGAGGTCAGCATCTTTCTTTTATTGTTTTTTTTTTTTTTTTTTTTTGAGACAGAGTCTCGCTCTGTTGCCGAGGCTGGAGTACAGTGGCACAGTCTTGGCTCACCACAACCTCCACCTCCCGGGTTCAAGCTATTCTCCTGCCTCAGCCTCCCAAGTAGCTGAGACTACAGGCACACGCCACCATGCCTGGCTAATTTTTGTATTTTTAGTAGAGACGGGGTTTCACTATGTTGGCCAGGCTGGTCTCGAACTCCTGACCTCATGATCTGCCTGCCTTGGCTTCCCGAAGTGCTGGGATTACAGGCGTGAGCCACCGAGCCTGGCTGGATCAGCATCTTATAGAGCTGCTTCTGTCCCACTCTCCAAACTCATCCCCCCTTCCCCGACTCTCCCCATCAACCCACTCTGATGCCATACTGCCTTCCAAACCTTTTGGACTCCTCCTTGCCCACTGCCTTTTCCGCCAGCAGCTCCCTCTGCTGGGACCACCCTTCCTTTCACAACTGAGGCCCACGTGGGCAAGGCTTGAGCACCTCTCCTTCTGAAAGCCCACGTGGGTCATCTCAGGAGCCACTCCATTTGCCCCTCCTTTCTTCTCTCAAGTTTTTGACTACTGCTTTCATACCCTTGCAGTGTGTCTACTAGTCTATCTCCCCTGAGTGTCTGAGAATTGCTCCCACCTAACACCATTTCCATTCACTGCTGTGTCCCCAGGCCTAGCCCAGAGCTCACATATCCATGATCTTCTCCTCCCTGCTCCTGTGCTCATTTCCCCAGCATATGCTCATTAGAAAGAGATTCGACTGGCTGGGCACGGTGGCTCATGCCTGTAATCCTAGCACTTTAGGAGGCCGAGGTGGGTGGATCACCTGAGGTTAGGAGTTCAAGACCAGCCTGGGCAACATGGTGAAACCCTGTCTCTACTAAAAATACAAAAATTAGCCAGGTGTGATGGGCAGGCACCTGTAATCCCAGCTACTTGGGGGACTGAGGCACAAGAATCCCTTGAACCCGGAAGGTGGAGGTTGCAGTGAGCTGAGACTGCGCCTCTATACTCCAGCCTGGGCAACAAGAGCGAAACTCCATCTCAAAAAAAAAAAAAAAAAAAAAGAAACAAAAAGAGATTAGATTGTTGAATCAAAATGTCAGATAAGGTCTTTTCAATGAAGGCAGTCCTTGAAAAACTTTTAAAGGTCAACAAAAATACATGGAATCAGACTCCATTTATTTATTAATAATAATTATTATTTTATACAGATGTAGTCTCGCTATGTTGACCAGGCTGGTCTTGAACTCCTGGCCTCAAGCAGTCCTCCCATCTCAGCCTCCCAAAGGGCTGGGATTACAGGCATTAGGGACCGCACAGCCCAGACTCCATTTGGATAAGACTCTGAAGGGGGCATCGCCAACACACAGCCCTTTGACCTTATGTGCAGGTAAGGCTAGAGTAGGCTGTAAGATGCAGGTGAGATCAATGAAGGCCTCGCTGCAAATGGGACCACACAGGAGCCAGAGCCTTCCTGGGAAATGCTGTAGCACAGGAGGGCCAGGGACCAGGGAGGGGGCTGGGGCTGTAGAGCGAATCCACGGCTCTAAAAAGAGAGCAAAAAGAGCTACCTGTTCTCTCCTCAGTCCTTCACGTCAGCCATTTCCACAAGGAAGAAAACACACAGAAAGTCTTAATCATATTTAATCACATGGCTTGAGGGTTGACAGAAAAGAGGACAAAAAAATAAATGAATGAAACCCATCTTAAACAATGGATGTTACTAAATATTAGCAAGCCGGCACCTAGTGACAGGGATGTTTGTTGCTAGTTTCATGTTGGTTCCACCTTCGAAGTACCTGAAGATAATTCATTTTGGATCAGTAATTGTGAATACTATATTGTTAGGTCTTATCTAAGGGAAGGGAAAAAAAAAGTGAGTTCAGTCCTCTTCTGTGATGTCAATTCTGCTTCTGCTAGATTAACCAAAAAGAGTTTTTTTGTTTTTTTTTTAAATCCCAACTGACAAGTAAAGGCATAGCAGCTACAGGACAGACTACTCTGCGGTCATTAAAAATGGTGCTGAGGTTGGGTGTGGTGGCTCATACCTGTAATCCCAGCTCTTTGAGAGGCTGTGGCAGGTGGATCAGTTGAGGCCAAGAGTTCAAGACCAGCCTGGTACTAAAAATACAAAAATTAGATGCAGTGGCATGTGCCTATAGTCCCAGCTACTCAGGAGACTAAGGCAGAAGAATAGCTTGCACCTAGGAGGCGGAGGTTGCAGTGAGCCAAGATTGTACCACCGCACTCCAGCCTGGGTGATAGAACGAGACTGTCCCAGAAACAAACAAAAAAACGTGCTGGGCCCGGCAGTGGCTCATTCCTGTAATCCCAGTACCTTGGGAGGCCTAGGTAGGCAGATTGCTTGAGGGCGGAGTTTGAGATCAGCCTGAGCAACACAGACAGAGACAGCCTCTACAAAAAATTGTTTAAATCCGTCTCAAACAAACAGTAACCATGTAGGGTGGCACATGTCTGCAGTCCCAGTTACTTGGAAGGCTAAGATGGAAGGATCACTTGAATCCCAGGGTTCCAGGTTGCAGTGAGCTATGACTGCACCACTCAATTCTAGCCTGGGCAAAAAATGCAAGTCCCTGTCTCAAAAAAAAAAAAAACAAAAAACAACATTGTACTTCCTAATGTGGATTCTTACAGTATGCTGTGAAAAAGCAGGTTAAAGTAATATGTAATAACTATGATATTAATAATGTATGTAATAAGCTAAAGGTAATAAAATGTGATAACCATAAGGCAAACATTTCTCCAGTTCCTGCTATAACCAGCTACACTGCTCAGGGCCCTTGATATCTCTCTTTTTTTTTTTTTTTTTGAAACAGAGTCTCACTCTGTCATCCAGGCTGGAGTGCAGTGACACGATCTCAGCTCACTGCATCCTCTGCCTCCTGGGTTCAGGCGATTCTCCTGCCTCAGCCTCCCTAGTAGCTGGGATTACAGGTGCACACCACCATGCCTGGCTAATTTTTGTGTTTTTAGTATAGACGGGGTTTCACCATGTTGGCCAGGCTGGTCTCGAACTCCTGACCTCAAGAGATCCGCCCACCTTGGCCTCCCAAATTGGTAGGATTACAGGCATGAGCCACTGTGCCCGCCCCCTTGATATCTCATTTAATCCTCCTAACATCATCCTCATGAGGTAGTTACTGGTTCTCACTATACAGGGAAGAAAACGGAGAATTAGGTGAGGTAACACCTTGGCCAGGACACGCAGCTTTTAAAGGGCTGTGCTCGATTTAAGTCCAGGCAGGACTGCCTCCAGGGTATATGATGTTTCCTTGTATTTGACTCCGTTTTACAGAAAATGTGTATGTACATGTTACACACACATACACATGTTCCCAGCTGGAAGGACACTCCAGTTAATGGATAGTAAGTACTACTGGTAGTATTACGAGAATTTCATCATCGTCTTCTTCTCTGTAATTTTTGGGGTTGTCTACATTTGATACAATACATATATATTACTTGTTAATAAAAACCAAGTGTGAAAAAAGCAAAAAAAGCGAGCAAGAGATCTGTACTGTTATATGTTGCTTCCAGGAATATCAAAACTAACTTGTATATTCTGAGTTTATTCAGTCAATAAAAACGTCCTAAGCTCCTACTCCTATAAGCAAACAATCTATTTGTGTGAAAACATGAGCCATCCTCTCCACAAGAAAGTAACGGCTGTATTTCCAAAACAATGCCTTCAAGCTTTGCAACAAGGTGACCATTATCCATAATAACAATAGTTGACATTTTAGTTATTCTTTATATTCAGCAAATCAAAAGCTCTCCCCTCCCTCTTCAAGTGTGAAGACAGCAAGGAAGCTTGTGGATGACTTGCTCTTGTTGGATAAAGAAGAGAAACATGTCAGAGGCACCTGAAGGCTGCCATCTTTTTTTTTCCTATGTGGATGAGGACCTTGGATGGTGTAGATGAAGTTTAGGAGCAGCAGGCAGCTGCTGTAGCAGTTTATTGCCTAATTGTAAAATGGAGTGTATTGGAAGAAGAGAAAGGCCTCACTCCTCTGAGGCCGGGTTAGTTTTAGGACCACAGCTTGAAGATGCCCAAGGGTCAATGGATTGACAACTTGGATAGACACCCATTCTTTGGCTCTGGAATGCTACTCAGCCCCATGAGGACACAAGCAAGTGTCCCTAAAAGTCAAAGCCTCTAGCAGGAATGCATTATCTTTTTCTTATACCATTGGCTCTAGCGTCCTTTATATTTTATTTGCATAAAAGCAGCTTGGTGCATGAGAAACCGCACGAACTCTGAAGTCTGGTGGACTCAGGCTAAAACCCGATTCTGTGACCTCAGGTCAAGGTAATTAACCACTGGGATTGGTTTGCTTTTGTTTTTTGAGACACGGTCTTGCTCCGTCACCCAGGCTGGAGTGTAGTGGCACGGCCATGGCTCACTGCAGTCTTGACCTCCTAAGCTCAAGCAATCTTCTTGCCTCAGCCTCCCAAGTAGCATGGACTACAGGTGTGTGCTAACCATGCATGGCTAATTTTTTATTTTTATTTTTTGTAGAGAAGAGGTCTCACTATTTTGCCCAGGCTGGTTTTAAACTCCTAGGCTCAAGCAATCCTCCTCGGCCTCCCAAAGTGCTGGGATTACAGGCATGAGCCACCATGCCCAGTCCAACCACTTGGAACTTAATACCATTCACTGAATAAAAAGAACTAAAAGCACCTGGCACCCTGTGTACATGGTAGAGTGCTTTCTTCCTTTAAGTCACATACATGGCACCTGGTACATGTAGCATGCTTTCTTCCTTTAAGTCACATACATGGCACCTGGTACATGTAGCATGCTTTCTTCCTTTAAGTCACGTACATGGCACCTGGTACATGTAGCATGCTTTCTTCCTTTAAGTCACGTACATGGCACCTGGCACATGTAGCGTGCTTTTTTCCTTTAAGTCATGTACATGGCACCTAGTACTACACGTAGCGTGCTTTCTTCCTTTAAGTCGGTGTGTCTCACAGGGAGCAGGTATCATTGAGGAACCAGTTTTCAAAGCCCCTTCATTATTTGCTTTACCCATGAGTGGCCCACCACCTTTTTTTTAATCTTCTGTTTTGTGTTTGTGGACAATGGCTTGACAAAGAAAAGCCATCCCCTTCCCCATTTTCCAAACTAGCAGGAGAGGCTGGATGTGGTTGCTGATGCCTGCAATCCCAGCACTTTGGGAGGCCAAGGCAGGTGGATCACCTGAGGTCAGGAGTTCAAGACCAGCCTGGCCATCATGGCAAAACCCTGTCTCTACTAAAAATACAAAAATTAGCCAGGCATGGTGATGGACACCTGTAATCCCAGCTACTTGGGAGGCTGAGGCAGGAGAATCGCTTGAACTCGGGAGGCAGAGGTTGCAGTAAGCCGAGATCATATCATTGCACTCCAGTCTGGGCAACAGGAGTGAGACCCCGTCTCAAAAACAAAAACAAAACAAAAACAAAAACAAAAACAAAAAAACTAACAAGAGAAGGAAGTCAGCACAAGAAATGCAGGTTTAGTAGTACATGGTAGAATACTCGTGCAGAAACCCATGTTCTTCAGCACACGATTTTGAGGAGGTGGGCTGCGCAAATGAAACACGCCTTCTCTGCAGACATATGCCTCTGTGTGTGTGTGTGCAGTGTGTGTGTGTGGTGTGTGTGTGGTGTGTGCGTGGTGTGTGTGTGTGTGGTGTGTGTGTGTGTGTTTATAAGACCCAAAGATGCTTTCAGGCTCCCACTTCATCTGGCAAAATGAGGAACTTGTTTCTCCTTCTCTTGCAGCATTTCCCTCCTTGTGGAATTCACCAGCTGACAGAGAGAATCCCGGGGTTTGTTCTGCTGCCCCATTTCCAGCGCGGGGCTACAGACAGCCCACAGGCAGACGCTCAGGGTGAAGACATGCAGGGAGTGCAAGAGACTCAAGAGAAGGCCCCAAGGTGTCCCTTGGTATCTCTGGAAAGGGAGAAAAGGACCTATGAATGGACAGTGGTCTCAACGCCTACCTCCAGGGTCTCAGATGCCCCCTCTTCCTGCCAAGTCTTCACCAGAGCTCTGTAGATAGATTGTCTTTGGAAGTCTGAGAGTCTAGGTCAAGGGTTTGGGGTAAAAGGTGTAAAGAAAGGAAAGCAGATTTTTTGGATAGCCCAAAATGTTCTTCTAATGTATTTGTTCAATACTCTGAAAATCAGCAATCGATCTTGCAATTTAAGGGGGAAAATATAAAGAGACCTATGATGCCAGGTTTGAAAGAACAACAGAGATAATGGAAAAAGGATTCCCCACATTAGCGAGAGGGTCATGCTGCACAGGGCTAAGAGGGTGTGGCCTCATCCCGTCCTTCCTGGCTGGAATTGGAATAAAGCCTCATGGCTCCACTTCACCACCTCCTCGGCCACACAGACTCTGCTCTAGTCTCATCAACAGCACATCGGCCCACAGCTCAGACACACCGGAGGTCACCGCCTCCTCTTTCTCACCAGGCCACATAGACTCTGCCCTAGTCTCATCAACAGCACATCGGCCCACAGCTCAGACACACCAGAGGTCAACGCCTCCTCTTTCTCACCACAGTTGTGAAGTCCTGCAGACTTTAGCCAGTGCTTTAAGGAGATGCTGGGGCCCAAAACTGGACACTATATTAATGCACTCTAGGGTGGGGGTAAAAGAAACTCTGGCCTGCCTGGGGCCTCAGACCCTGTGGAGGACCCATAGAGAAGAGGTGGCAGGGAGACAGGGGACAGACACTGGGCTGGGCATTAGGGCCTGGGTCCTGGCGCTGCTGATGGCATTGTGGCCTCTGCAAGACGGTAGCGGCCATGGAAGCTCTGCCTCACCGTCTTCATGTGTAAATTGGCTGGGCAAACAGGATTCACAATGCTTCCTCCAGCTCCAACACTCAGAGGTCACAAGTGACAGCAGAAGCCACGGGCTGCCCTCGGCGGCCCCTGAGCCTGTCTTCCCTTTCCAGCTGCCAGGCTTCCAAGTCTCCTCTCCAGCTCCTCCTGGAAGAGCTGCCAGTCTCTCAACACATTGTCGTTCCTTCCATCTACCATTTTCTTTCTTTCCTTTCCATCTGTTCTTTCCTTTCCATCCCCTAACACTGCAGTCTCCAACCTTTTTTGGTACCAGGGACCAGTTTCATGGAAGACAATTTTTCCAAGGATGGTAGGGGCGAGGGGGATGGTTTTGGGATTAAATTGTCCCACTTCACATGATCATGCATTAGATTCTCATAAGGAGTGTGCAACCTAGATCCATTGCGTGAGCAGTTCACAACAGGGCTTGCGCTCCTATGAAGATCCAGTGCCGCTGCTGATCTGACAGGAGGCGGAGCTCTCAGGAGGTGATGCTCACTCACAGGCCGCTCATCTACTGCTGCATAGCCCAACTCCTAACAGGCCATGGACCAGTGCCCATCCACAGCCCAGGGGTTGGGAACACCTGCCCTAACATACACATACAAAAACTCTTAAAGGGCCAGGCATGGTGGCGCATGCCTATAATCCCAGCGCTTTGGGAGGCTGAGATGGGTGGATCACCTGAGGTCAGGAGTTTGAGACCAGCCTGACCAACACAGAGAAACACCGTCTCTACTAAAAATACAAAATTTGCCGGGTGTGATGGCATGCGGCTATAATCCCAGCCACTTGGGAGGCTGAGGCAGGAGAATTGCTTGAATCTGGGAGGTAGAGGTTGCGGTGAGCCGCGATCACGCCATTGCACTCCAGACTAGGCAACAAGAGTGAAACTCTGTTTCAAACAAAAACAAAAACTTCTTAAGGAAAGCCAAATAACTAACTGCCCTTCAGCTAAGGGAATCCACGTAGCATTGCCCTGTGGAAGCAAGGCTTTTTCAATGGCCCAAGGTAAACATATAAGTGCACACGTGTGTGTTTGTGTGTGTGTGTGGCATGGGAGGTGTGGCTCAACCCCAACTCACCACTGCCATCATTACGAGGACCAAAAAACAAACACGACCTACCTTGCTGGCCACCACCAGCTGCACCATTCCCGTGGCGGAGCGAAGAATGGCCACTGCTTCCTCGTGGGAGAGCCCGACCAGTAAATGACCATTGATTACCAGCAGCTCATCTCCTAAGGACAGCCTGCCATCCCTGAGGAAAGGGAGATGGGAAAAAAATCCCTTGTCAAGACATTCTGGGCCTGAGAAGGGCCACTTTCTGGAGCTAGGGAGGGTGGTGAGGAGGGACAGTTAAGATTGGGCTAAAGAGGACACTGTGATGGCCAGAGGCAGTTGGGGATGCGACTGCTTTATTCGTGGTGCCCAGATTCCCATCAGAGGATTCCCTCCATGATTTCAGGCAGTGGCTCAGTAATATGCACATTAAGGTCACCAGCCTACCTGGCATCAGTGTCAGTGAAACTCCCATCCAGGTGGAGATGGTGATAGAGGAACCAAGACCCCAAGGTTTGAGGAGAGTTGAGTCATTCTTCTCTTAATCCTCCCCGCCATCCTGCCCTGATGACCGAGTCACTGAGCTGAGCTCAGAAAGAGCAGAGATATCCTAAGCCCACCTGCATTCCTTTCCTAACACACTGCCCTCCTCCCTTCCCAGGTGACATGAACCTGACCAGATGTCCTCTGGGGCACCTGTGATTCACACTACACTACATGGGTCTGTATCTCCCAATGGGGCACCTGTGATTCACAC